GTCTCACCTCGGTAATCGCGAAGATCCGAGTGCGTGAATGTTGTTGCCACAAAAGGCTGTACACCGCAGACGTTCTAATAACGTCTTATTAGAATCTCCGATTGACGTCACTCTCGAATTCCCCGCTTTCGTTCCGCCTTGCGCGATTCAATTTACTGCCCTTAATTTACGATAGCTCATTTGCGGTTTCTCACAAAACTACAGCCGTTTCATCATCTTTGTTACATATGTGCGAGTCACCTTACGATATCGCAATTCGAGTAAGGAGGAATTTTCTCTTTCCGCGACAAATCTTCTTTCACGACGCATTTAATTATTCAACGGAAACCGTACGGGTACAAACTTTCGCGTACTAAAAGGTCGCTTTTGACACGTGCTAACGAAACATTACAGTCGGTTCGGGCTATTTCCTCACGCGGGCCATAAACCAAACAACTACCGCCGAAAAACGTGACGAACGTAAAAAAATGTATTAACACGCGCGGTCGTAGAACTTTACAAATATATATCTTCGAGGGGCATCATCCGCGTGAATCGGCCGCTTGACAGGTATCGATTTATGGAATCTCTTCTTATTTTCCACGTGCAACATTATTACGGCGAAAGGTTACGCTTCGCCGATCGACATGGAGCGAGTGTCATGTGACGGAGGACATAAACGCGAAGAGACCTTCCAGTTACGAGCATAAAAAGAACATTAACGCGCCCGTAGAAATTTACAAGTATGTTCTTTGTAGGGCGCCAATAGGGTAACACTTTCCTTTGTCAGTCACTCGTCTGACAGGCATCGATTTACGGGAAAAGAGGGAAGGAGTTATGCCCGTTAAGCGGCCGTTACAACGTTCAACGATCAATTTTTTAATGCGCCTTACAACAAAGTTGTCCATAAAACGACCGGCTGCTAGCGTTAATGGTGTCTCAACGGGGCGCAGGTTTAAGACTTCTCGTAAGTTTACTTTCGGCCCGGCGTAAACTTGTATTCTCTCTCCCGTACGGAAAACCGCTGCGATCATCCCATCATACGTTCGCATTTTACGCTCGATTTACCGTCGCTAATTTTCAAACTTTGATAATGCGCAGATATAATTAGGACTCAATTGCACGTCTTTTAAAATGATTCTGCCAGACTACGCCAAACATATTTCCGAAACGTAATCCCTTTCGTACAGGTTTTTGACCCCGCCAAAACAAAAACGTGATCCTTTTGCGCGACAACAAACGGCAACCTTTTTCCATGTATGTACATTTCGTTTTCCAGTTTTCTTTCTTTTTTTTTATGTTGTCCTTATGTGGATGGCACGAGACAGAACAGGACTAGCTGACGAGGGTCTCGAACTTCGGCCTTTTTCTCGAATTTCTTCCAGCCACGGTCGCTCTCTGGAAGCTCCTTCGCCCCCGAGACGCGTGATTTATTTTCACTGGCACCGCGCGACACGTGTTGCCTCGTAACACGTGGCTGTGCTTACATTTCGTAGCTGCGCGTACACGGCACGCACGCACGCACGCGTGCATCGACCGCATGTTATCTCAACGTCACGCCACGTATTGTTTTAAGGTCATCTCGTGGATCTGCATTGTTTGAACGCGGGTAGCAGCCTGGATTGCTATTCCGAGAAAGAATAATTCTTAGATGGCGAAACGGTGATACCGTTGTAAAATCGAAGTGCGAAAGTCGCGTGTCGGCGACGAATCTTTCCGCGAATCCCATACCTCACGTAGAATAGTTCTCACAATGCGGGAGATAAATAATATGTAGCGCGATAATCCACCGCGAATGATAATGTCGTAGATCATCTCGATGGTACACGACAAAGACGCGGATCTCAAAAGAAAAAGAAAAGAACGCGGAGTCTCTCCGTCTCCCGGCGGTGTCTTAATTAAAAAATTATATATCCTTCGATCGGTAATCGGTACAATTTTCCCCGTCGAGGCATGCATAATGTCGGGCCATTACGGCTCCTTAATCGCCCGGCAATCGCAGTCGCCGCGCGCTATCGGCGAATAGATCGATCACCGGGATCGCGCCGACGACTTTCAGATATATCGCATCGTATTGTATTGCATCGCATCGCGTCGCATCGCGTCGCGTCGCATCGCATCGCGGAGACGCATTGTCTCCGCGCGCGTACGCCGCGGCTCGATGCCATTAGCGTCGTTAATCATAGAGCCTGCGGGCGCATTTCGCGCGCGATGCAGAGAGGGAGAGAAGTAGAGATCCAGATATATACGTGCGCGCGAGTCTCGCCGGGGATCCTTGAACGAGGCACCTTAACGATCGATCGAAAAGGCCGTTACGCGACGTGCAATTAGAGGTAAGATTACGAAAGGGAATGCCTCCCATTCATTAGGATCCTCGCCAGCCAGCGAGCGAGCGAGCGAGTGCGCTGTCGCTCGCTAAGAGAGCGAGGTTCGCTCGCAGGACCGACATCGTCGTCGTCGATGATCTAAACTTGGCCTTGCTTCCTCTCCCTCTACGCCTGATTGCCGACTGTCTCTTGGCGACTCTCCGCCAAGAGACGGAGAAAGAGGGGGAGAAAGAGAGGTAAGGGTTAATTCCGAGATTACAGGTTGTCCAAGTCTCGCGCTACGGTAACCGCCGCATAACCGTCGCAACGCTCTCGAGCTGCAACGTACTTTTTCACGACGGCAAAGCGACGAGAGGAGCCCACTTCTTCGATCCGTTGGCAATACAAACACGATTGACCATGACACCGTAACCTTACCCAATCCCTCTGATTGCTCGTACCGACGGCGGCGATTAGAATCATTAGCGATCTCGTGTCATTAGCATCATTGTGCCCGCAACGATGATGACTCCGTACGGCCATTTACATAATGATGCGCAATTATTTATCTGGAGTGCGTTGGAAACAATAAAGAAAGAAAGAGGAGAGAGGGAGAGGTGTGATTCGGATATTTTCTATCGTCTGATGATTGGTTGCGCACTCGTGCATTGTAAATTGCAATGCGAATAATGGATCGAACGAAGAGGATGTTATCCAACCACAAAAGTAATTCTCGCTACGCAAAATTAATATATTTTTTATCTTCGATAGTTTTCTTTCGATAATTTTCTAGTTATGTAGATATAAATTCATATAGATAACAAAAATGTTATCAGTTGTTAATCGAACATAGCAATGATTTTTATTTCTCTTATATAAAAAACGAATAGATTTTATGTTTTATCAACATCAATGTTTTCTTGACCTTATCTGGCAATTTTAATAATATTCTTATTAGTTTATGCTTTATATTACAGTTCCAAAAACTCTGTAAAACAGAACATTTTAGCTAGGTTTTCAACCTTTCACTCCAGTTTCACTCGCAGAAAAATATAATGCGTATATTCGAAAAATGATAAATGATCCATGAAATTACAAATACAAGACGTATATTGTGCTGCTTGACGTACATATGTTGTATATACGTATAGTGTAGCGCCCGCCGGCGCTCTTATGTATAGTTTTCACTCTTTTCAAATCACTCGCGCACTAGGAAACATTCTCACATAATTCAAAGACTAGTAGAATATTATATTGTACTGGTTTCGATGAAAGCAAGTTTTACCTGACAGCGAAACGTTGTGCGACGTTGCAGGTTGCAGGTTTGTGTTTGCCTGACAAATAAGCATAGACGAAAAGTAGAGAAAGGACAGAGAAACAGGTAGTGATTTGCTACTTTTGGTTAGCATCTACAATAGCTCTCTAACAGGGCAGGTGAGTTGGCCATGGTGAGTTGATGAATTGCGATAAAATCAAGGTATACAAAATGTCATCTACATGTTTCGCGCAAACAATAAATACTACATTAATATACCTTGAATAATCAAACTAAGATAAATTTTTTATCAAAACATTAAATATTAAAGTCTGCCCCCTTCATAATTAAATTAAATCGTAGAAAATTTTAATTTATATAAAATTTTTTTAATTACAGAGCGTGCCCACAAAACGTTGCCTCCAACCGTCACAAATAAAATCGTCTGAATAAACAGCAAGTGAGATAACCCAGATAATTCAAATAACTTAATTACGCATTTGTATTCTTAACTATACATTTTTGCGAGAGTATGTTATTATAGTGTATTATTATAGTACTGTGTGATTCATAAAGCGCGCGGAACTGAACGCAAGTAGACAGATGGCGAAACGCGAGCGAGCGGAAGTTAGTGAGTTAGCAATAGAGGAAAGTTTTCTATTATGAGATAGAAGTCTAATATGAGATAGTAGGTTTTTTACGTACAAATTCAATCACAAATCTTTTTTCGCAAGGATTATACGATCTAACAATCAATTCTCTACCGAACATATATCACTCCAAGGGCACTAAATTCATGGTGGAATTAACAGATAATTCCTATTAATTTAACAAACACCCCGCTATCTCATATTAGGGGACTTTCCCCTATGTATGTGATATGCGAGGGAAGCAAGAAGAAGGTGGGTGTTCGACGTACAATAAAGAAAGGCGATTGCTAGCAAGGGGACGTGTTATTCCTTTTCCCTTTTTGCATTTTAAAGCTAATGATTAATTTAAAGATGCAGGATTTTATGAAACGAAGCAACGTTGTCATAACGTAACATTGTTATCGCAGGAATTTCCATGAAATTACCCCAAGTTATTACACAGCGTGCTTATATGGTAAATAAGGCGCGTTCAAAACGCTGCCTCCGTTCATCGCGTTTACTATGACGAAATCGCCTGGATAAACGGCAGGTGAGATAACCCAGATAACCGTTACAACTATCGACGGTCCAATCTCGATCGTCCACGGACACGCGAGGGTTTCTTTGTCCCGCGTAAGATTACAATATTACGCGGCAGTGCGCAATCGAACGGCAATTTTCTGCAACGATATCCCCGCGACCAGTAAAAACTTTTATCACTCAGGTGTCTCTGTCAAAATCAAACCGCACGCTATTATTGCACGGCGCAGTGTGCCAACAACAAAACTAAACACATCGAGTACGCGTAATGAGCTTTCCCGTTATTATTACCTCTTACTGTGTCATTGACCGATTGTTCTTGCAAACTGCAGTATGTCAGCTTCTTGTATTAATGCCCATCTGAAATGAGAAAATATCCTCGATCAAAATACTGGGTAAACCAAATACTTTATTGTCTTCGCTGCATATTTGTCTTTTAATGGAGAAAAGTTTTATGAATTGTATCATAAAAGTACAATTTCATAATAGTTCATCTAATTATTAAATTTTATTAATTGAGATAATTTCTCATATTTATTATCTTTATTCATCTTGTAGCCCAAATTCCCCAAATTTCTTGCATCCAAAATATCCAAAATGAATTTTAATACTGCTGCATATTAGTGCATTTGTATTATATTTGGTACGCGCACCTTTACGTCCGATTTTCTAACAGCGATATTAGTCAACTAATCTATCGAATCCGTCTCCGTTGCACAATTTTGACAACGGCGTAATTACGAACGACATGATTCGCTGGCGTAAACAAAAGAAAAAGAGACCAACGTTTATTATATCGTGAGAGAAATGACGCCATCGAACATTGCCGCACCAGCGTCGGCGTTACGAGACTGCAAAAGACTCAGGCGAGCGTACTACAAAATGAGACACTTCGCTTTTATCAACAGCTCGACGATTTTTGTTGAAAACGCTGACTCAGCGATGATTGTCGCGGGTTAACAGACCGCGACATTTCGTTACCAATGATTTTCTCCCGTACAGTCCTACCGTACCATGAATTCTCGGCGCGTGTAATCGAACGCGCGATTGTATCGTCCGCAAGCGACACGTTAACTGAATTAAATACGTATACGCTCATCTCGCGAGTGCGTAATGCACGAATCGACGATTAATGATCTTTCCAGACGTATTATTCCGTGCAATTAATGTTTCGGCGGAGTAGCGGATTAGCAAAATTGTATACTCGGCCCACTGTCGAATGTATCATTGTACATTAAACTATAATACGCTGTGTCTAAAGGACATAAACATATTTGTGCCAAATATCATATACTCGTATTTGAAAAATTAATTAGGGCCAATAATAATTTTCATTGCTATTATAATACCACAGTCCCAAGTGTCTAAATCATGGCGTTGGACAGGTGAGATGTTGAGATCGAAAGTTAAATGCGGAAGCTCAAACCTGCGGTTGAGAATTTAATCTCGCGCTACAAAGTACCGCTAATACAATTCACTGGGCTCACAAGAAAACAAGGAGAGACGTATGAATTCAATGATGGACAAGCGTAAGCTGTCGCAACACGTGAGTGAGACTCATTGGGGTGCAGCGCTAACGGGCGATATTAAACTGCAATCATCGATAGAAGTAATCAAGAGCGCAACGATAGCCGGTCGACTTAATTATTGGCCGTGTTCTGTCCGCCGCGCGGCGCAAGTGGATCGACCAGCTAATTAGCCGTAAAGCTACGGCAGATAGATCAGAGATAGAGAGCGCGTTGCCTATGAATAACGGAAAGGAAATTAGGCGTCGGCCAATGGTGAGCGAGCGAACGAACGGTTTGCCGGCAGGCATTATTGTGCCGGTACACTTGCAGTTTCCGCGAGTTGCGAACATTCCCGTTGCTCGCTTTGACGCCGCGCCACGCCACGGCTCTTTCAGGGGGGTCCTTTTAATTATAACCATTTTCCGCGATTAGGAAAACGGAACCCGGCTGACGCTCCGTTGCCTGATACGCGAGTGCCAAGCAGCTGTTAGAAGAGATAATTTCTATTTTCCCACATAATCGTACCCTTGAGCGCGCTTATCGAGCATCTTCCTGTCTTCCTCTTTCTCGTTCTCTCTTTTTCACGTTCCTAGGCTCTTCTGCGCGTAAAATGTAGCAAGATATAGCGAGCTGCTCCGAGACAAACGAGCCGCGTCGTAATTAACACACGCCGCATTATCTTATAATAATTATAATTTCAGATATCGCACAAATTTTTGACGTCCAGCGGTACAATCGTAAACGTTTCGCCGTCTGAGGTTAATAGAACTGCCACGACTATTTCCGCTAGAAAATGAAACGCGTACCAGATTAGATCGCCAACCGGATAAAGTGTGTACACATCTTACGTAATAATTTCTAATTTATATATTTCTATCCGCGCCGCATTTGCATATATACAATTTGTAATCATTTTCACTAAAAGGAAAAAGCCAATATAAAGAAAGGCCCAACAATCCCTTCTCTTTTCCAATGTACGTAGAAATTTACGTGATTGAATATCTTTCATTAGATCGTTCTATCGCGAACACGCGATTCACCACGTAAACTACGTCTACGTGAGTCAGAATACGCTTGATTTAAACGAAACGCGTGACAACGAGCTCTATTGTAGTCCCGTGGCTATTATAGTATGGTGACAGTATCCGCGTATATATCGGGGAATAGCTTTGAATATGTTTGAATCGATTTGCAGGATTGTTGGAAAGGATCGCCGCGCAGCCGGGCGCCCCGTAGGTTCACGCTGGAACCGGGCCAGCGGCAATTCCGGATGGAAATCTCATTCCGACATGAATATCTCCGTTGCTGAGATTGTATCGTCGTATACGCGGAGTAAGGTCGCGACTAAGGATGCACGCTGCCTTATTTACGCGCCAATCAGCATCCTCTTTTTCCTCTCGTCTCAAACAAATCACGTTCGATTGCTTGTGCGACTATCGCGCACGCATTTGCATTAATCACTTCCTCGAAATGTTAATTCAGAAATAAAAGGACGAAGTGGCGTAGAAACGGCAAAATCGCGTCTCTATGTAGAGGAAAGCCCCCTGTTACGAGATAGGCTCCTAATAAGAGATAGCGGGGTGTCTGTTAAATTAATAGGCATTATCTGTTGATTTCACCATGAATTTATTGCCCTTGGAGTGAAATCTATTTAGAGTGGAGTGGAAAATTCATTGTTACATTGTGTAATCGTCGCGAAAAAGGATTTGTGATTGAATTTGGGTGTTGAAAACCTGCTGTTCCATATTAGAAACCTTATCTCCTAGTAGAGGACTTTCCTCTATGTGCGATTTCTGGAATACGACAATATTTTATATGTTTTTAGATATTATAAAGAGTGCAAGTAGCATGCGAGATTAGCATTATAATTAATTAGACCTCAAAATCAAAGTGATCGCTAAAATAATCTGAAATGATAATTGACGATAAATTGACGTTACTGGCTCATTATCCTAAGAAGACAGCGCGAATCTGCAAATGACAGTTATATCGAGGTTACGCATCACTAGGCATGTCGTTGTAAGTAAAAATGAGACGTTTACGAGGGCACTGCGATTCATCATTTGCGGCTTTCGTGTCTACTCTGTCGGGAAACAGGTTTGTCCGAGATAAGAGGAGACCGCGGTTTGATTAAAAGTCCCAAAGAATATCTCGCGAGTGCGCGAGATTAATACAACCGACATTTAGAAGTTAAGGAAGATTGTATTAGCAGATCAGATCGCAGAGAGATAGACCATCGTCTTAATTGCATCGCAATTAAAATCTCGTAAAAACGTCGTTTCGTCCTGATCGAGCGAACCGAGGGGTCTTCAGGCTACCTTCTAATATATATGTATATTACATACATTCGCAATTAATTCGATATTTTTCGCTTCCAAGCGACAAATCACGCTCGCGCCTCTCTTCGATCACAGACCGCAACAAGACGACTGATTTGCATTTATTGCTTCCTGTTAATGTAAATCGCTCTGCAACATTTTCTTTATAATAATAGGCTCAGAATAAAACCGTTCCGATGACTTTAGCAGATTAACATATAAAATAGCAATTCAAATTCTGAGAGACTCAAATAAAATTTCACATAATTGATTCGAAGAAAATTCGTTCTTCCTTCAATAAAAAAGAAACGTGCAAATCCAGGTGAATTTTATCGATTATTAATCATATTTCAGTCAGAATCTGAATTTTCCAAAGACAAACGAGAATATATATTTTGATAAAAATTATGAACAAAAAGTCAGATTTTTTTAAATCTAGCCTATGCTCGAGAGGGAATATTTTCTCCGTTTATTGCCGGATTAAAATAATAAACCAGGATTCACAATTCGGAATAATTGAAACGGTTTCTCGTATAGCATTTGGGGAAAAAGCAGAAACTTTTGTCCGTCAAATCATTTCAAAGTTACAACAACGCGAATTGCGAAAGATACATTTCTGCAAACAAACAGTGTACAGCCTAATGCGGTATATTAGTTTTACATGCTGGCAGCGTCGAGAGTCATTTTAACAATGACGTTGAGAAACGCCCCGATATCTTGGGAAACATAAAGAAAACCCAAACGTTTCAGCTCAGACTTCTCGAAAGGACAAGTCTGGCTTCCAACTGACAAAGGATGACTGTCCCCAAGTCCCAATGTTCGCGAAAACGTCGTAGTCAGCTCCTTAGTGTGCTTTCTGCTCAGATTTGTAGGGACGGGGGGGGGGGGGAGGAAGAAGTGTACCCAGTTAACGGATACAGAGTTTTAATGCGCAGTTCCGTGTTCCTCAGTACTTTTCTTCGAGGACAAAATAAAGATTAGGATTGATCGGTACAGGGGTAGTTTAAAAACATCGTCCTCGATGGGCAGGTCCCAAGATTCAGGTTAGTCAACAGGTGGCTAACCTGCCAGCGAAGGCAACCTACACAAACAATACATCTGATGCACAAATACAAATCTCCCCTCTCGGATATAACTTAGGACAGAGAGCAGAGAGAGAAGGTGGAAGGTGGAGAGAAGGTCGGGACGAACAAGGGAGAGGGGAAAAGGCTCCTATATCTCAACTCACACATTCGTTGGAGTACGATCTGAACACGTTTACGGGGGAGGGCGGGGGGGACCTGGGCCGTTCGAGACTGCACGTGTTCCTAACCCTTGGCTATCATCGAGGTTCTCAAATTCTCGTTCTTACTGCATCGCCCGTGTATGCCAGGCAAATTCGTGTCAGTTATTGTGGTCAGTGGCAATTTTCTCGCAAATAATCGCGATCATTTTTAGATTAACATTTATACGATACATACATCCAGAGATATATTAATTTTAAAGCAATATGTGAGATGGACATTTTCCAAAAATATTACGTTCATTTCTTTAG